GTCGAATTTGCTTATGAAATTCCAAGTGTCTCAGAGTTTCAAGAAGTACATATTTTATTATAACTTTCTGAAGTTGCAGTGTATCACAAGCCCTAATGTGACAATTATAATATAGCTTAGACATGTGACATTATTTTTTTTCCATTCATTCATTGTTGCACTTGTGGCATTATTTTTAAAACTTCATATTCAGTCTAATATCAGTTCATAATATAATCAAGTATGACGTTCTGTCCATAGGATAATTGGATGAAGTCTAAATATAAAGTCAATTCAAGTCAAGAGCAAAATTCATTTTTTTTCCTGTAACAGACATTCACTGGTTCTCTGGAAGTTGTGTAGATAAAATGTTTACCTTTCTTGCTACCTTTTCAATTATTGACATAATTGATACTCTTCCTTCCTTTAATACAATTCAGTCCTCCACCTCTTCTCCTAGGTCAGACTTTTATAGTTATCTCCATAGCAACATTCTGATCTAATAGGAAGATACATCTTCCAAATGGCTAGAAATACAGCATTAACTGTTAGAACGTAACATTTTTCATGGTGGAAGCATCTGGATTTCACAACCAGCCAAGATGTATAAAACCTCTGTAGCTGTTTAATAGTTACCCAAGACTGAGCTTGCCTACTTTATTAGAATTCGTTTATAAATAAACAATTCTCATTAACCAGCTATGTAGTATAATAAAATAAAAGGTTATTCCAACATCAAAAAAAGAGTTTAATTTACAAGTGAAGTTGCTTACTTCACTTCCAATAACCTTGTGAATAAAAGAGTTTCTGGTAGATTTGGGCCATATTACCAACCTATTACTAGTGCACTAATACATCTATTTACTGGCTGATTATGTCCTCTGGCAAAATTCGGAACTGTCTACTACTCTGGTGCAAACTAATCCGTTTTCAAAATTAGTTATTGATCTCAGTCCCATTGTGAAAGACCAATTTAGTGGCTGGTTCATTGAGTACCAAAGTGGCAGCGTTTGTGTGACTAGAAGTAAAGTCAGAGCAAATATAGTGTTTAAAAACCATGTTTAAAGAGAGTTTCCCATTGCAGGGGGTTGGCAAACAAAAAAGAGTATTCAAGGACGCTAAGTTTCTCTCATTAGAAACTAATGATGCAGGTGCATCCAAGCTTGTCACACTAACATAAGCTTTTCCTGTGTACGTTTGTTATTCATATCCTGAATTTAAATAAACTGAATTGTAAATCATGAGAAAAATTGCTCAGCAAAATATTTCTCCACTTTTCAAATTTACTGTTTTATGTGGAATTAGAGAAAAGTTAGACTAAAGGAAATGCTTAATTTATAGATATACACTGATTCTTTGCTAAACAGCATGTGACAAAATGCTAGGAAAAAAGAAACCGGAAATTATGAGCACAAAACAATGCTGACATTATACTTCATCTTTTAAAATTTGTCAATTTTTTGCTCCTACAAGAATAATTTCTTAGGGTTCATTTTTTGTACTTTTTAAAGGAAATGTTGGGGGAAATGGAAAATTGGCATTGTTTTCTAAAGATCTCTGTGAATCAAAATAATTAATTGCAAACTTCACAGCATCCATAGGTAAAAAATTGGTCACAGAGTACCAGCGATCTAACTGTAATAACCACAAAACATATGTGAACTTGACCTACTCATGAGTCTTGGTTGTTATGAAATGATGTAATCATTTTCCACAGTGTAGTCTGATGTATCTTCCGTTTGTAGTATGTTGTAAATTTTACCTCTAGGGAGCTCTGGTGGCTTGCTGCTGCTGTTCCCTGCTGTCAAATTGCAGCTAAATCATAGCTGACCCTTCAGCTTTCAGCGCTAGAAAATCACACAGAGGAGATTGTCCATCCTTCTCAATTGGAAAGGCTGATGTTTTCAAACTGCGTGTCTTTTGGATTCCAGTGCAGCTTCTTGGTACTAGACCAGAGCTCATGATATCTTCTTCTTGTTATGTGCCATCAAGTCAACTACAACTCATAGAGATCCTATGAATAGTATCACTGAACACTGCCCGACCCTGAGCAAATATCACTGATTCCAATAAACCTTCTCCAATTTCCCAGTCACTATATCAAGCCGTCTCATCCAGGGTCTTTCTCTCCTCTGCTGACTCTCCACCCTTCCAAGCATAATGTCCTTCTCTAATGGCTGCTCCCTGCTGACAATATGCCCCAAGTATGTGAGATTGAGCTTCAAAATCCTTGTCTCCAAGGAGCAATCTGTTTTCACCATCTCCAGGACAGATCTATTTGTTTTCTTGGCAGTCCATGGCATGTTCAATTTCTTCTCCAGCACCACACTCAAAGGCACAGTTCTTCTTCTGTCATCCTTAGTCATTGTCCAGCTCTCTGAGGCATAGCAGGTCGTTATAAAGACCATGGCATAAATCAGGCATACCTTAGTCAACAACCAGACTCAAATCTCAATCCCAAACTAGAAAACACACACCTTTGTAGATATATGAGAGACCAGATTCTGCTTTGGGGTTGAGATTAGGGTTTGACTATTGTTTATAATAGGGTGTGAGCTGATTGCATTTGGGTTCTTATTTAAAATGGCTTTTGGGCCTCGGGCCTGTAGTCAGCTGGCCTGCTTTTTTGTGGATCTCTCGAAAAAAAGAGTGGTATCCACTTCCAAAAAAAGCTTGCCTCCAGAAACTTTATGAACTTGGAGAAAAGATGAAAGTTTTGTGTTCAAGACTTTCATTCACAGGGTCAGTATCAGTTGTCTATGACTCTTTGGCACATAACAACAACAACAACAACAACAAAATATATGTATTTGGAAGGAGAATTGACATCTACTTCCTAAACATTTCTCTGGAAACTCTGTGAACTTTGACAAATGTCTATAGATGTAGAGTGGTTTCAGGCCTTTTGTTCATAGGATCTCTATGAGTCGTGCTTGACTCGAAGGCAGTCAACAACAACAACATATGTATTTATACGTGTATGTGTGTGTGTGTGTGTACACACACACTTTCACATATAGATTGAAAAGGTTTGGAGATATGATGCATCCCTGCTGTCAGAGACCACTCCAGAGTACTGAAGAACAATGATGTCAGTCTGGAAACTAAGGTGCCCCTCATCCAGGTCATGGTCTTTGCAATTACTTGTTATGCATCAGAGGACTGGACAATAACTAAGGGTATTGAAAAACTGACGCCTTTGAGTTGTGGAGAAGAGTATTGAATATACATGGACTGCTAAGAGAACAAACAGTTTCATCCATGAGATGGTGAAACCAGTATGCTCCTTGGAGGCAAGGATTCTGAAGCTCCATCTGACATATTTGGGGCATGTTCCAAGGAGAGACCAATCCTTGGAGGAGGATATCATGCCTGGAAGGGTGGAGAGTCAGTGAAAGAGAGGAAGAACCTAGAAGAGATGGACAGGGGTAATGGGGGTAGGTGAGTCAGAGACAATGAAGTTGACTCAAGATAAAACAGGGTTCAGAGCTGTTTGTGAGTTATAGATGACTCAATGGCACAAAACAACAGCTACCTCATTACTATCATGCATAGTGACCATGTGTTCAGAATAATTAAAAACTTCTCAATCCTATCCAATCATCACAATTATTATGTGTAAGTCCATTTGTGACCACTGTGGTCTATCACGTTACATTTTTTTAAACTTTTTTTCTATTTTACCAAGTGTATTTTCTTCCTATTAGATCTCTACTAAAAGCAAGTCCAAAATATGTGAGAACCTTCACTTCTGAGGACCATTCTGTTTGCATTTCTTCCAATAAAAACTTGTTTGCCCTCTGGTAACCTGTTGTTGATTGCCTTCAAGTTGAGCAGACTTACAGAGACTCTATAAATAAAAGTCCTGAAGCCTTTCAATAACTGTTGACATTTATCAAAGTTCATAGAGTTTCTGAATGCATGTTGGTTAGGAAGTGGATACCACTCCTGTTTAGGGTATATTAAATATTCTTCATCAATATCTAATCCAAAGGCAATTATTTTTCAGTCATCTTCATGCTTTGTCCAACTTTCACACATTTTAATCAACTGAAAGTTGTGGCTTAAATCAAGTGCACCTTATACCTCAAAGAAATATGTTTATTTTTAACACCTTAAAAGAGAAGTCTATTAAAGCAGATTTTCCCAATGTGATAATTTCATTCAAGTTCTTTTCCATGGTCATTGGTGGTGGTTCGAGGTAAAATGAAATATTTTCATTTTTTCTATCTTTCCCTTGTTTATAAAAATAATTATATATGTACAATTCACTTGATCTGCACTACTGACACTTTAATACTGATATTAATTCATACTAAGGAAAATTATGTCCGTTTCAATTCTAAAGTGTTCCTGATAAGGCCATAGTCTTTTCAATCACTAGCTGTGAATCTAAGAGCTGAAAAATGAATAAGAATGACAGAAGAAAAATTTATACCTATGAGTTGTGGTGTTGGAGAAAAGTACTGAATATCCCATGGATTAAAAAAAAAAAAACCAAACACACATTTTGGAGAAAGTGCAATTAGAATGCTTCTTGGAGGCAAGGATGAGACAGCTTCATCTCATATACATTGGGCATGTTGTTATGAAAGGTTTTCCTTAGGAAGTGTTATCACGCTTAGAAAGGTAGAAGGTCACAGAAGGAGATGAAATTGACACAGTGAATGCAGCTATGGGCTCAAGCATGTCAGAGATGATGAGGATGGCACAAGATAGGACAGGCTTGATCTGTTATTCACAGAGTTGCTAAGAGTTGTACTCAATTTGATGGTACCTAACACCAACATATTGATCTGAATTAACAATCTTTGACTATTTGTTACTATGTCTTTCAATTTAATTTAAAATATGAGATACAGTCTTTATTATTAGTCCTGGTCATTAACTCTAATTTTTATATCCCACTTTGTTCTTTATTCTCTTCAACAAGTGTTTCATTCATGTTTTAAGATAACTGAAAGAAGCTTTGCAATGCCATTGCCTCAGCAGTACAGTTGTTTGTTACACTCGCCCCAGCCATGGTCAATCCCATAGTGTACTTTGACATCACTGCTGATGATGAATGTTTAGGCTGTGTTTCCTTCGAGATTTTAGCAGATAAAGTCCCAAAGACAGCAGAAAACTTCCATGCTCTGAGTACTGAGGAGAAAGGATTTGGTTACAAGGGTTCCTGCCTTCACAGAATCATTTCTGGTTTTGTGTGCCAGGGTGAAAACTCCACACGCCGTAATGGTACTGGTGGCAAGTCCATCTATGAGGAGAAGTTTGACGATGATATCTTCATCCTGAAGCACACAGATCCTGGCATCCTGTCCATGGCAAACACTAAACCCAATATAAACAGTTCCCATTTTTTTATCTGTACTGCTAAGACTGAATGGTTGGATGGCAAGCATGTCATCTTTGGCAAGATGAAAGAAGGCATAAACATTGTGGAAGGCATGGAGCACTTTGGTTCCAGGAATGGCAAGACCAGCAAGAAGATCACCATTGATGACTGTGGACAACTCTAATTATGATCTGTATTTCGTGTTTTCTCTTAATCACCACATCATTCCTTCTATTGCTCCAGAGATCACCCTGCGACCCCCAGTGTGCTTGCAGTACCTTTTAATCTTGGTGCTCTTGCTACAGTTCTTTTGGTTCCATGTTTTCTTTATTTCTTTCCAAGGTTAGCAGGATTGCAGACTTAAATTTATGACTGAAATAAAAAACTAGACAACACTGTTGTCTGTTCTTATTTGGGTTAAAATGTTGGTACAGGTCTTTGAGCATAACATCAGTAACCTCTTGAATAGTGAAGTATTTAATATGCTTACTAAATTCCATAGTACTTCCCATCCTTTCTGACTTAGTATGATGGCAAGAATTAATGTCACAGTATATATCCATATACTGTATTTT